AGGTTCAGCCTCTGTTTCAGTCTCCGATACTGTGGGGAGCAAACCCAGGACCCAGAGCTGAGAATTATTCCCAGCACTACTGGGTGTGACCCCAAAACAAAACAAAACCTCAGAATATGGGTGGGTTGGGGCAGTAGAAACCACACAGACAATTCTTAAGTAGGGCAGCACCTGTTTGCCGGAAATAGAAAAGGAGACAGAAACAGAAAAATATGGAATGCTGCTTGGATATAGGAAAAAATGAAATAATGCGGTTTGCTTCTGATGCGAGGAGGATCTGGAGAGTATCATGCTGCGTGAAGGTGGTCAGGAGGAGGGGTGCAGATACAGAGTGAGCTCTCTCATACATGGGATATAAAGAATCAAAGTAGGGGCATGACAAATGCCCACAGAAAACAAAAACTGAACTGGTCTTAAGTAGTAAGCGTACCACAGGCGATAGAAGGAGGAATAGGATGGGGCAGGAGGGGTGAGACAGCAGTGGAGGGAATTGGACATTGTGGTGGAGGGTGTGGTGCTGGAATGTGTTATATGTGAAACCCTATCATTAACAGCATTGGAAACCGTGGTGACTAAAATTAAAAAAAAAAACATAGGAAAGGATTTAAGTCCCATAAAGATCCATAAAGATATGCTGTAATGAATATAGGTGAACATTAATAGAATGATATAACAATATACATAATGAAGTTATATGAGAAAAATATAATCATAAAGCAGAGAAAAACTGGGAACTTAATAAGCTAAGGGAAAGGAATAATATTTAACTATAAGTAAACAGTGTAATTCGTAAGTAGAAAAACTCAAATAATTGAATAATAGAAGTTACTTGGACATTGGAGTAAACAGGGAAAACTCGTTTCAGAATGGAATCTAAGAAGTATGAAATCTGTGTTATTAAATTGGTAATAGAGTAAGTAGAACAAGAAAAAAGAATTTATAAGAGAAAAAAGGTTTGGAGCTGGAGTGGGGTTTACCTTGGACGCAGCTGACCCAGGTTCGATTTCCAGCATCCCGTATGGTCCCCCAAGCACCTCCAGGGGCTGTTCCTGAGTGCAGAGCCAGGAGCAACCCCTGAGCATCCCTGGGTGTGACCCTTCTCCCCCACAAAAAGCAAAAAAATAAAAAGTAATAAAAAAGAGAGAAAAAAGATTTGTGAGAAAAGTACAGATTAAAAATATTGTAACAGTAACTAGTGCTACATTAGATGCTCTGAAGAAGCATGAAGCAAAAATAAAAGATTACATATAATTACGTTTACCATCAATAAACACTCCTATAATAATGGTAATGTTAATGATTCAGTTACTGTGGAAAAATAGTTTGATGCTTTAAATTACATACAGAATTATTATATAATAATAATATATAATTATTATTATATAAGACCTCAGTAATTCACTGGGGTCTCTACTCCAGAAATTATGGAATAGCATGTGACCTTTCTGAGAAATCTACTAGATCAGCTGCGTGCAAGGCAAACTCCCTACTTGCTGTGCTGTTGCTCCAGCTATACTCTGGTTAATACATATATGAAAGGTAATCAGCCTTATTAATAATCAAGACGCTTTTATCAAATCACAACAGAAATTCATTACGTTACAACCAGAGTGACTAAAATTAGAGTGATAATGCCAAGTAACGGCCAGGGTATACAGCTCTCAGGATTTTTATATGTGGTAGGCATGTCATTTGTGGAAGTCACTTGGGAAATGATGTGTCATTTTCTGTTGGGATTTAGCATATTCTCTGTAACCTAGTAAACTAGTGTCTGTCTCAACAGACATTCAACAGAATTGTGTTTCATGTGCAGCAAAAGACAAGTTGCCCTATTTCACCACATTATGCAGCTTATTTTTTCAGTAACATGGGCACAATTGAAAAAAAAAACCTTAGTGATAGTCACGTTGGCCAACTGTTTTTCCTCTCAGTCTTCAGATGCTAATCTACATCTCTGCTCTTTTACCTAATTTATCGCTTATACTTTTTATTACGAACATTCTACAAGGTAGTTCTGGTTAATTATATCATGACTCATGTAAAAACCAACATGTCTAAAATTTAAACTTCAGCTCTTTCTCCCTGTGTCTAAATAAGCTACCATTTTATACCTGTTGGAGGCGAGGAGGGGACTCACTTGATGATGCTCAGGGGGTATTCCTGGTTCTGCTGAAGAGTGATCCCGGGTGGAGCTTGGGAGATGAATTGTGGTGCTGGGAATCAGTTTTGTGTCAATAGGTTGTGAGGCGAGCACCTGTACTATCTCTGGCCCCTATCCTGTTACTATTCAAGTAATTACTGTTTTTATTAGTGATTTTACGGTTGTTTAAAGTTGAAATATTTGAATTATTGGTGGCATAAATCTAATCTGAAATGTTGTGAACTAGGTATTTATTGATATATAGGCTTGTGATATAGAGGTATAATCTAATCCTTTTATTTCAGAATTTTCCTAAACTATATCTATTCTCTTTACACTAGTCTTTTTCTATGTCTAGACTGCTGTATGGTTTCTATTTTGTTCTTAGTTGTGGCTGTTTTTTATCAAAAGCCCTTCCAAACTTGTTCTGCCTATTTAACGTTTTTTAATTTTCACTTTAAATACCTTGAGTGTGGACCAATTCAAAATGCATCTAACTTCCAGTATTTTTTGGGGTCACACCCGGCAGTGCTCAGGGGTTACTTCTGGCTCTGCTCAAGAATTACCCCTGGCGATGCTCAGGGGATCATATGGGATGCTGGGAATCGAACCTGGGTCGGCTGCGTGCAAGGCAAATGCCCTCCCCTGCTGTGCTATCGCTCCAGCCCCGAAAAGCGTCTCAACAGCATAAATATTTATAATATTAAAAGTTTTGTTTTCTGGGACCTGAAGGAAGAATGCAGGGTCATAGAGTGCTTGCCTTGCAAATGTATGGTGAAGAATTCAAACCCCTAGTGTCCCACATGTGCTGAGCATGATTCTGGCAACTCTACTGTCTGTGGTCCTTGGCATAGTAAATGATTTCTGTCTCTCCATAGCTACATGTAGGTAAGCACAAAAAAGGGGGTATGCCCCCCCACCCCCATAAGCACACAGCTAAAACAGATATGTGTCACCACCAGGAACTGTGACCACTGGTGGGGAAGTGTGTGAGCACTGCGGTGATCCCTTGTGATCACCTCAATGATGACTTGCTGACTTCAGCTAAAAAATGTGATCCTTGTCTTATGCCAGTGCTAAAATGTGTAAGCTTCAAAGCCAGTTATTTATGCAAAATCAGGTCTTTGTGACAGCAACAAGAACCAGCAACCACAGAACTGAAGGGAAGGTGGAGGGTCGAAGGAAATAAAAAGTTTTAAAAAAGCTATTAGATGATTCACTGATTTATTTATTTATTTTAGTTTATTTATTGAATCACTGTGAGAAAAGTTACAAAGCTTTCAGGTTTAAGTCTCAGTCATACAATGATCGAACACTCTTCCCTTCACCAGTAATTATTTTTCACCACCAAGAACCCCAATATGCCCCCCCACACACACACACCTCCCAGTGCCTGTGAGGCAGATGATTTCTACTTAACTCTCTCTGTACTTTGATTACATTCATTATTTTGACAAAAGATGCACCATTATTGTTTGGAATTTCCCCCCAACAATCAGAACTGCTGAAAGGGCATTGTGAAATAATTTGTTTTCTATTGCTGGTTATGAAAACCATATGATTTTGGATTTCTGATATTTTGCTAATTTTAAGTCTGGAGGGATTTCTGCCAAGAGCCAGATAATTATGAGATTGGTTTCTGTGTGTCTGGTGCCATGGGCATGCCGGAGAGCTGCTCGTGGGGGCCAATTCGTGGCCTCGGTAGGGCGTGAAGGACGAGCCGTTTCCGTCCCCCATCCCATGAGACTGCAGTTGTCACCACAGGCTCATACCCGACTTTCCAATAAGCTCTGAGGCGGCAGCCACCATGCTGCAGGTGGTGGTGTTGGGGGGGGGGGCGGGGGAGGCGGAAGAGACAGACACCCTTTCCCTCCCAGGCGGTGGGGGGGGGGGGGGCAGGTCATGGCACCATAGTTTAACGCATAGTCCATTCACTTTTCTTCCACAAGCTGATGGGCTTTGGATTAGGTCTGTGTGCCTCTGGTGCCATGGCCCTGCCGGAGAGCCACTCATGGGGGGCCTGATTCACTAATTTAAAAAAAAATGTTTTAGAAAAATCTACAAATAAAAGCCCCCCCCCCCCCCCCGATTTTTCTTTTTGTTGGCCAAGTTCTGGGCTTCTAAATGCTTGATAAAATTCTTTTTAATTGAATAGTATTTAATAAAAAAAAAAAAACTAAGGCCTTGCCTTGAACTTTGCAGGCTAGTTGGGAAGACCAAACACAAACAAGGGATATATTCTTTGCAAAACTGTAAAACAGTGTGTCACTTGTGAAAAATGAAAAACTTCAAATTGAATGGGTAAGTGGTTGTGATGACAAGTTCTGCTATACTGTAATAGTTAACTGTAGTTTACTGTATTGTATACTACAATTAACTGTTATCTTTAGGCCCACTGTAGCCCTAGTAGCTCATACTTTAGCACCTAAAATAACTATACTAGATAGTGATTAGGCTGTTTGGGGCTAGCATATTGTGGGGTGAATACAGAACACCACTTGTTGCTCTCTTCTCTGATATACTATTAATGCTAGTGTACTGCTATAGCACATTATTTCTGTGGGAAAATGAACTGTTCCATAACCTGTGTGTTTTCATAAACTTGGTACAACAGGGGAAAACAGAAAAAGACTTCTTAAAATAAGCAAAGTGGAGTAGCAACTATTATAAGAGAGTACTATTAAAAGGCAAAGTTCTCTTGCCACTCAGGAATCTTACTTGTACCTTGATTCTCAGTCAAATAATGGGTCTCTCTCATTGATTCATTTCAAGGATAGTCTTTAGTCATTTTAAAATAGTAATTATTAGAGTCAAAATAATGAAAATTATGCCTAACCTTTTTGTTTGTTTGTTTCATAAGGCACAATTAGTGGATCTGAAATCAGAACTTACAGAAACCCAAGCAGAGAAAGTTGTACTGGAGAAAGAAGTACATGATCAGCTTTTACAGTTGCACTCTATTCAGCTTCAGCTTCATGCCAAAACTGGTCAAAGTGTTGACTCTGGTGCCATTAAGGCAAAACTGGTAAGTAATTTACTACATGTGTTTTTTGAATATGCAGAAAACGATTTTTAATGACGCTTTTTAATTACAAAAGAATGTGTATTGTGGGAGATTTAAAGAAAAATGAACAGAGAGATAGTTTAGCAGCAGGTAGGACACTTGCCTTGTATTTGGCCAACCAAGTTTGTTCCCTTGTACCACTCAAGACCCTGAGCATTGCCAGGAGTGTTTCCTGTGCACAAACCAGGTGTCACCCAATAATTCTTCTTCACCCCCTTAAAAAGCAAGAAATGTAGGAAATGTTAAGAGCATTATCATCAACAGTCTTACTTGGTAGAAGTGATCTGTGATAATATACATGGCTGTCACTTCAAATGCGATCTTTTTCCCGTTTAAGAGTATCGAAACAAACCAAAAGGAGTATTCATATAAATCACGGTCACGGTCCTCGCGTTGTTCATCGATTTGCTCAAGTGGGCCCAATAACGTCTCCATCTTGAGATTTGTTGTTCCTGTGTTTGGCATATTGAATATGTCATGGGTAACTTGCCAGGCTTTGCCACGTGGGCGAGATACTCGGTAGCTTGCCGGGCTCTCCGAGAGAGGCGGAGGAATCGAACCCGGCTCAGCCGGCTGGCTGCGTGCAAGGCAAACACCCTACTGCTGTGCTATTGCTCCAGCCCATTCGTATAAACATATTGAAAAAAATTTTTGTGATCATAACACAAAAAGAATTCATTGCTGTATTACATTGGGATTAATACAGCTGCTTATAACAAGTTCTGAGTAACACTGAGTATTTTGGTTAGTATGAACGATTGTTTCACAAACCGTTCAGAAATGATATGATCACCCACAGATATCAATGATTCAGGTTCTTTTTGTTATTGTGGCTTGCCATTTTTAGCATATCGTTTCTACAGTTTCTGCAGGAAGAAGGAAGATCCCAAGGAAAGGCAAAAAGTTGTTTCCCAGTTATAGTTACTTTATGAAATCCTCCTCAGCGTTTTACCAATCTAGCCATCTCATTGGCAATCTCTAACTGCTTGTCAGTTTTTTTTTGTTTAATCTCAGTAAGTCTCATTTTAGTTTAACCTCATATGTATTATGTACTATGTGCTAGGTACTTTGTTAACTGTAGAGGTGCAAAGTAGTATTAAGATAGCTTAGGGAGAAGCAGAAAATGAGCATGTTAACATTGGTGATAATGATAAGAGTAATATAATTTATAGTTTTACTTGTTGTCCATTAATTACATTTAATTAGTTGCTAATATAAATATTGGGATTTATTCAAATGAATGTATTCTTGTGATGTCCTTTTAAATTTAAAATTTTGTTAATTTCAGTTCTATTTAACCAAATAAGTAATTTGTAACTGTTTCTAGGAGTTTTTGACATTAACATTGAGAGACATTATACATTTTTAGTAGGAACAAAACCTTAAGTTTTAACATTAGATTTAAAACAAGGTTCTGTAGTGGACAAACAGTGATCAGAAATGATGAACTTCTTTTGATAAATTTCTTTTATTCTAATAGTTACTTTTTGTTATGGATTTGCAAATGTACTTTAGTGTTTTTTTCCTTGCATTGATTTGAGCATTTTTCTTACATTGATTATGCCACTAGCTAATGTTTATTCATGATGTTTTTCTAATTGTAAAACTTCTTTCTTATATCTTAAGTCTGTCCCCTCTGTGGAGGAACTGGTAAGTATGTCATTTCTATTTTGCTTTAATGTGTCATGCAGAAATGTTTTTAGTCTTTTATTTGCATACCACGCATCGTCACTTTCTGTCTGAAAATGATGTCTGATTAAAAACAATTTTTTTTCCCCATGCCAGTACTGGGAAAGTTTAGTGGTTGTCTCACTGCTCTTTCCGCACTACATGTTTGTAAAGATTTTTCCTTTGTTTGTGATTTATATCTATTACCTATAGAGCCCATCCGTTTTTGACAATTTTTGAACCTGAAACTTGCTCAAATTTCTGTCCCGAAAGAGCATTTAGTTTTCATATTTAAATGTTTTGAAGAATTAGCCCTAGTTTTTTTTATTTTACCTCCTTTTTAGTTTGAATTTATTCTGGGAAAAATATATGCATGTTGGTTTTTTCTTCATCACTGCATGTATTAAAATTTTTCAGCACTCTTAAGATTTATTTAAGATTTCTTTAGCTTTCAAAGAAATAAGTTCTAAAACAAGTTATAAAATAATATTGCACTTAAAACAACTGAATTCTGGAAACTTTACCAGAAATCATTGTAGAAATAAACAGTACTATATAAACGATTTTTTCCCACTACCCTTACTTGATAATTCGGTTCTAACTTGTCATAATTTTACTTCATTTGAAAATGTACTGTTCTTAAATATAATATTAATTTCTTGAATGATACTTAAAAATAGGTTAACTAAATTTTAATCAAAATTTTAAAGAAATTAAAATTTAATTTTAAATTAAAAATATAAATTTAGATATAAATCTCTTTAAATTGAAATGTGACTAACTTCAGTATTCTTAGTTCTCTTCTTGACACTCTTTATTTCAGGCCTGAGAGTTTATCAGAGTGTTAAGGATTTGAACCATTAAAATAAGTCATAGGTGGCCTAATATTTTTCTCATCTTTCATAAATACTCTATAAAAACTCATTAAAGTTTTTATAAGTGGTTAATCCTCAATATTAAGTTTATCAAGCCACAGAATTTTTAGTTTTTTAGAATACTTTAGAAAATAACAGCTTTAACGACATTGTCATAAATATTTTACTTTTGTGCTCCCAACTGTGGGTTATATTAGAAATAATTCCTACCTTTTAAAGTTCTAAAGTAGTTTAAAATTTTATTGATAATATTGAAGTTATAAAAAGTTTCTGTAATATTAATATCCTCAAATTCTTTAAGAATAATAAGCAAATTCAGAATGTTCTTTTTTTTACAGAAGTTGAAAAGGCTTGATTATTAATCATGTATTTATCAGATATAAGATACAATCTCGACTCATTTTAACTTATATATTACTTACTGCCTTGTATTTAATCATGTAATATATTGATATTAAAATAGTAGACCAAAGCATATGGCAGATTTAATATTGAAACATTACTTAAAGTTTGTTTAAATTTCACAGCTTATTAGTAGCCAGAATATAAGGGACAGACAATTATAATAATAATCAGTATACATATAATACAAGCAGGTTAACTAAATTTTAGTTAACATTTTAAATAAAAGCAGTATCATTTGCCATTTGTACAGGGGTTGTAATTTTACTGGTGCTAAGGTACATCTTATGTTTTATTAATGAAGATATTATGAGTGACTGCCATGTCTTACCAATAATTTAATCATTTTTTCACAAGATTTGTCGATTCTGCAAGTTAATAAATCAGTAAAGGTAACTTGAGATAAATATACTTTTTCAATATTTGGATGGTTTTCTCAATTCAAAAATGGCAGTTACAGGACAGAGAGATAGTACAGCACGCAGTGTGCTTGCCTTACAAGTAGTTGACCCAGGCTTCGATCCCCCCATATCCCACGTTTCTCTGGGGTGCTCAGAGCGATCCCTGAGCACCAACAGGTGTTGCCCCAAAACAAAAGTGGTGCTTAAAAAGTTATGGCCCTTACTTCGTTCTCAGAAGTGTTTTGTTTGGCAGTCCAGTTTTTGTTTGGCGATCCAGTATTTCTTAAAATTTGACTCTTTCATTCAGAATTTTGCACCTTCTATTTCTATTTTTGTCTTTTAAGTCCTTTGTGTGTGCTTGTGTGTAGTTTTGTTTTGGTTTGGGGGACATACCTGACGGTTCTCTGGGGTTACTTCTGGCTCTGCACTCTGGAGTCACTCCTGGCAGGACCATATGAGATGCCGGGGATTGAAACCTGGAAGGGTCACATGCAGAGCAAGCACCTTCCTACTGCGTTATCTCTACAGCCCCATCACATGCCTTTCTGAACTCTGCTTCGGTCCTGGAGGCATTACACACTTACAGGACTAGACATACTGTTCTTCACGTTTTTAAAGTAAATTGAGCATTCTTCTCACAGCTAAGTTTGTGATAAAAGTTTGATGGCAAAGATATTGAGGTCATACTTTTTAACACTTGTGAATTTATACACATGGGGTACTATCAGGAGGAGAGTAGAATAACATACTTTCATATAAACTAAAAACAAATGTCTACCTCAAAGTAAACAAGTATGGCCAGTATTTCCCTCAGAAAGCAATTTTTCATTCACTTTAACATATAAATAGGTGAACCAAATCCCCAAATTCAGTAGTCAGCTCTATACTACAGGTAGTGCAGTTGTTAGCAACATTTCTTCATGACAATATACATACATATTTAATTAGAAGGATATTGAAACTTTGGTGGTGTTTTTAATTAGAGGAATATTGCACTTTGTTGGGCATGGAGTGGTAATGTTGTACTTCGAAAACATAACATTTACTGTTTTGTAAATCACTGTTACCACAACAAAAACTGAAACCAAAAAAGAAAAAGAGGATTAAAGAATTTTCTCAAGTGATAAAAAACACATGCTTAGCTTGTGTGAAGTCACTTTGATCCCCCGGCACCGCTGTGTGTAGCTGTGGTGGCTCTCACACATCACTGGGGTTACCCTGGTGGGCCTCTGAGGACCTATAAAAATAAAGGCAAGAAATTGGAATATCTTTAATTCTATCATTGTAATTTCTTATTGTCCCTTTAAATTAGCTATAAAACACACCTGCATATTTCAGTGGTATTACTTTTGTAGTATGCTACACTAAGTTTAATGTAATGTTTGAGTGTAACCACCAATCCTATTGTTTCATTTGCTTGTTTCTGGGCCACACTTGGCTATGCTCAGGGGTTACTTCCGGCTCTGTGCTTAGAAATTACTCTTGGCAGTGCTCAGGGGATCATACGGAATGCCAGGGATCAGAATGGGGTCAGCCTGTGCCAGGCGAGTGCCCTACCCAATATCTTATCATTCCTGTCTCCAGCATGATTCTTTTTTACTTTAGATTTCCTTCTTGAGTCACTTTTCACACTTAAAATCAAGACAAAAGTCAGTTATCCATTGAAACTACTCATATTCCTCCGTGATAAGTCTAAATTTAGAGAACTCTTGGTATCCTCAGTCTTAAGGTCCCTCCTACCAAACGTTTATCTTACCTAGACGTGCTTCCAGTAACTTCTGCTACAAATTTAAACAAATTTCATCTAAAGGTTTGTCTTCCATTTTATTGGAAGGAAATGGAATGGGCTGGCGAGATAGTACAGGAGTACTTACCTTGTATGTGGCTGCAGTAGTCACAACCCTGATTCAGCTTCCTGGCACCACATATGGTTCCACCAAATATGAGCACCTCCAGGGCTCACTCCTGAGTATAGCCCCTGAGTACCATCAGGTGTACCACCCATTACCATCACCACTAAATGGAGTGGTAATATTTATTGTATACTTTCATTGTTGGTATCATAGACTGTGTGCTTTTTTTGTATTTTAAGGAACATGGTCTATTGCAAGAGTCTTAAAATAACCTTTGTTGCATTATATTTTTTAAAAAATTAAATAAGGAGCAAGAGCTTGAAGCAAACAAAAAAGAGAAAATGAAAGAAACACAACTTGAAGCTGAAGTCAAGTTACTGAGAAAAGAGAACGAAGCCCTTCGTAGACATATAGCTGTTCTCCAGGCTGAAGTTTATGGGGCAAGACTTGCTGCCAAATATTTGGACAAAGAACTGGCAGGAAGGTGTGTAAAAATAAAAAATAAAGGTGCTTGCCTTGCATACAGTTTCCCTGGGTTTAATCCCCGTCACCCAGTATGGTCACTGAGCCCCACCAGAAGTCACAGAGCCAGGAATAAGCCCTGACCACTGCCAGGTGTGGCCCCCAAATAAAAAACTGATACACAGCAAATAAAAATTATATTATCTTGAAGTATACATTTTTGCATTTTCTTTTGTTTTCTTTCTTTATTTTTTTGTGTAACACTTGGTGATGCTCAGGGGTTACTCCTGGCTCTGCACTCAGGAATTGGTGGTGGTCAGAGGGTCATTATGGGTTACTGGAGGTTGATCCCGGGCCAGTCACGTGCAAAGCAGAAGTCCTACGCACTGTATTATTGCTCTGTATCCTGAAGTATGTGTTTTCTAATTTAGCACATTTAAAGTAATCATCTTGTAAAACACTGCCAGAAGAAATATTTTTGTGCAGTTTTCTTTATCTAAAGACTAGCATTTACTAGTATCTAATTTATCAGCCTGTCTTGATTACAGCAAGACATGAAATGCATGTTAACACTAGTATCATAAGTTATCTTAAGATATATTTGGACTTGTCTGGATTTGACTAAAGAGTGGATTATGGAGATAGAAAGTTCAGGCACTTTCCTTGCATGTGGCCAATGCCATTTTGATCCCTGGTAGCACATATGGGAGTAAGCCCTGAGTATTACTTTTAAAAATAAAAAAGTTTTTTTTTTTTTTTATTAGTTTCTGGGTTAGAAAAATAGTACGGGAGGTAAGGTGGATAAGGTGACCTTTTCTGCTCTTGGCACCACATGTTGTCCTCTGAACACCTTTGGAGTAATCCGTGAACATAATGCCAGAAATGAGCCCTGAGCACTGCCAGATGTGGCCCAAACACCAAACATTTAATAACACAATAGTTGAAAATATGTAAAAATTGGTTTCCTTTAACAATTTGTATGTCTGTAAATTCAAGTATTTGTTAACTTAGATATATTTAAAGCTATTTGTGTTCAGTAATTCTCTTGAATTTTATTATGTATAGTGAAAAGTGAACTGAATTAAATCTTTTCCTCCTATGAAGAGTTCAGCAAATACAGTTACTAGGACGAGATATGAAGGGACCTGCTCATGACAAACTTTGGAACCAGTTGGAAGCTGAAATACATTTGCATCGTCACAAAACTGTTATCAGAGCCTGCAGAGGACGTAATGACCTAAAACGGCCAATGCAAGCACCACCAGGCCATGTATGTGTGTTTGCCACTCACTATTTTCTTTCTTTAATCAGAAATCCTTTCCATTTATTTTCATTCTATTTTTAAAACCTTTATTTTAAAAGTGGAAGTGAGATTAAACAAATACAAAGTTTCAACAACCCTTAATTCTATAGATTTACTAATTCACTGAAAGTGATATTTCTGAGGACTCTGAATTATTGCTAGCACATGCATAACGGTATTACTTTAACTCATGTTTTAGAATATTTTCTGGATCATCAAATTCGGTGTTTAAATTTTTTAATAAGCTCAGAAAGAAGTAGTCATTGATAACTTGAGGTAGTTCTTTGGGGAATTTTTGTCAGATAAATTGTACTTTCTAAACTAATATTTATACTAATATTTTCCTTTTTGTCTGGATAAACCTTAAATTTTATTACAACAGTTGCCGGATAATAGAAACCTTAATGTATGAAAAATGTGTCTACTCTTATCCAGTGACTCACACATCTTAGAACATGAAAAGGTTGGCCCAGCTTTTATACCAATTTTTTGTAGCAACCCTTGTGAAGTTTTTAAAAAACATTTTGTTATCTCCAAAACAGGGTGTGGTAAATATAGGGGGTTTTTTTGTTTGTTTGTTTGTTTGTTTGTTTTTTGCCTCTGCAGTATTGTACAAATTGTTATTGTGCATGAAATTAGTTGGAAAGAAGAAGGGAAAGGATTAAGCGTTTAAGCAATGGCCTTCTTGGGAAATCAATGTCTTCTATGTATGTTAATGGTAGTGGCTGAATGACAAGATAGTTCATACTACAAAAGGATTTTGAACTTCATGTTAATAATCATGAGATTTTCCAGAAAATAAAATAATGGGGGACCACAGAGAAAGCACAGGGGTTTGTCTTGCATGTAGTCAACCCTGTTTGATCCCCAGTACTGCATATGGTCCCTTAATCACTGTCAGGAGCTATCCTTGAGCACAGGAACTGGAGTAAGTCCTGAGCACATCTGGGTATTACTCTCAAACCAAAATAATAATGACAATACAACAACAACAAATTTAAAATTTAAGTACGATTTAATATTAAATATATTTACATAAGAGTGGATTACCTTTACATTTTCCTATATTGATAAAACAACTAGTTTTTTGTTTTATCTAATCACGTTTTTAACACTAACCTATGTATCTATTCCAGAAAATTAATAAAGATTTTTGAAAGCATATTACATATATAACATAGGGTTGCTGTATTTGTTATAATTAATTAATTCTAATCTATCTTCTTCCTCCCCCAATAAGGATCAAGACTCTTTAAAGAAAAGTCAAGGTGTTGGCCCAATTAGAAAAGTTCTCCTCCTCAAGGAAGACCATGAAGGCCTTGGCATTTCAATTACAGTAAGAAGTAGTACTTCCAGTGCCTTTTGTAGTTATCTAATTATCCAGTTATATCATTGTGCTACTTTATTGGGAAGTAAAACATTTTGGGCATTGTTTTATAAATAACTAAATTTATTCCCACGGATACCAGAATTTTTGTATCAACTTCTTATTTTCTTAGTTTAAGTCTTTTTAGTAACTATTAAGTAGTATATCTTTAGTACTATAGTATAACCTTTTCTTTATAACTCAGGTCATAGTTCTGCTCCCTATACTATAATATGCCTCTTGGAATCATTGCAGTGTTTCTGTGGAGAACACCCTGGAGTGGGGGAGGTATGAGGGGGGGCCACACCCTGCACACATACGGCCCTACTGTTGACCCTTAAAATATTCCAAAAGGACCACTGGTATAATAAATCATGTAAATGGGAGTCCATGACATGTGATTAGGGGGCCAACCTCTACTCTAGGAGGTGGGGAAGAGCCCACATGAAGGAAACAAGGCTGGAAGAGGGTCATGGTTGGAAAAAAGTTGAACAGCACTCTTACAGTCTGTATTAGTTTTCTCTTATGTCATTTCTTTATTGTCAGATTTCACTGTTAGTTCTTGGGGCCAAGATTTTTTTTTTTTCCTTTTAAAACTTGATGACTTGCCAAACAGTTGCTTTGGGCAGCATTCCTGAGAACCATCTGTCTTAAAGTACTTTGGAGTCTTGCTCTTACTCTGTGCTATATGCAGGATGAATGGATAGTATGGCTTTATTCTAACTTTGATTTGGTAATATTGAGTCATTGCATCAATACACTGGTTTTCTGGTATTGCTTAATGTAGTTTGTTGTAACAAAAATGCTTATCCAATGATATTTACTGAATACTCTCTTTAATGCACTGCCCTCAGAGCATACATTTTAATGGAAAAAATACATAAGCATTATATAAGCTAAAAAAGGATACCTTGTCTGACTTGCAGTTCTTTTGCATTTTGACCTTTTGAAACTGAAATTCATATTGCAGTCCTAGAGCTAATTTTGTGGTACATTAAATGATGTCATTTGTTGTCACAGCACAGCGGGTAGGGCATTCGCCTTACAAGCGGCCAACATGGCCGACCCGAGTTCGATTCCTCCACCCCTCTCGGAGAGCCCGGCAAGCTACCGAGAGTATTCGATATGCCAGACACAGTAACAACAAAGTCTCCAATGGAGACGTTACTGGGCCCGCTCGAGCAAATCAACGATCAACGGGAAGGCCTTTACCTTTACCTTTACCTTTATTTGTTGTCACTTATATACTGTGACTTTACTCAGTATTTATAGAAACTGTGGGTAGTCAAAAATATTTTAAAGAAATTCTTTATCACTAAAATTATCAAACTCTGAAAAAATGAATTTACTGCTTTTTTGCTTTTTATTTCCCTTTTGGTTAGGGTGGGAAAGAGCATGGTGTTCCAATCCTTATTTCTGAGATTCACCCAGGACAGCCTGCTGATAGATGTGGGGGGCTACATGTTGGAGATGCTATTTTGGCCGTTAATGGAGTTAACCTAAGGGACACAAAGCACAAAGAAGCTGTAACTATTCTTTCTCAGCAGGTAAGTTCTGTTTATGTAATTAAATTTGATTTGTCATTTGGTTCTTTTTTTGACCACTTATTTTGGGCCACCGTTGTGGTGCTCAGGGCTTACTCCTGGGTCTGCATACAGGGATCATTCCTGGTGGGGCTGGGGGCAAGAGGCAGGAGCATATTTCGTGCTGGGATAGAACCCCAGTCCACTGCATGCAAGGCAAGTCCCGTGCCTCCTGGACAACTTTGAGGTAGTTATTTGTGTCTTCTGTTTTAATTATTACGTAGATTAATTCATATGAAGTGCTTAGAAAAGGAGCTGGCACATTTAGAAAGTACAATAATCAGCAGAAACTTGATAATAATATACAGATATGAGATATTAGAGGAAATGAGGTACTAGAAGTAGATTGATTTTTTTTTTTACAGGTAGAGCTGAAGGGCCTTTAGAAGTCATATAGCACAGGGGTTGGAGCAATAGCACAGTGGGTAGAGCACTTGCCTTGCATGCGGCTGACCCGGGTTCGATTCCCAGCATCCCATATGGTCCCCTGAGCACCGCTAGGGGTGATTCCTGAGTGCAGAGCCAGGAGTAACACCTGTGCATTGTCAGGTGTGACCCAAAAAAGCAAAAAAAAAAAAAAAAAGCATATAGCTCAGTTTACTTACCTTATTTTTGAAGTTCTTTTGTTAATTTTTGGTTTACAGTACTATTAGTAATGGTTTCTTGTGGATATGATTCCTACGCCATGTTCATTACCAGTGTATCAGTCTCCCTTATACTTATTTCAAAAGACATAAACCAAGATCCTTATAGATTAAGTAATTTGTGAGGGTTGCGAGCAAATAAATTGTAATAGTTGAGTTTATATCTGGGGTGATTTTTGTGGTCTAGTGTACTTAAGATACTGTTATTTTCCCTTTAAGAATAGGATTGAGGGGATTAGAGGTACTGATAGTATATTGACATTTTAACCATCATTGTAGTCTGCCAGTGTCCAATTGAATCTCAGAGGTGAGGTGAATTTATAGTTCATTTAGTTCAGCTGTATTGCTTCATTTTTAGAGGTATACTTGTTGCTGACAAAGCCGTCTGTTTCATTGTTGTACATTGCCGATTTTTAAAAAGCTCTTTCTCATGCTAACCTCAGGACTGATTAGTGCATAATACTGCCATCTAGAACTTTATTGAAGGTTACTGTGTTGTCTGTTTTTCATAAAAGTGATATTTTAAAAGCATTTTCTGATGAGGAAAATCCAAGAATGTAACCTCACCTTACCACAGCGTGGCTGTCTTCCAGTATCATAAAAATGGCATGAATGGTAATTGTGGTAAAGATGACACAAATAGGCAGATACAAAATTTTAAGGGGTGCTACACACATACTAAAATTCTGAAGCACAATCTTAAAGTTCTGAGAAAGAGAACTTAATAGCAGGAAAAAAAATGCTGTTTACAGTAAGTAAATTTAACATAGGCTGTCTAATTTTATCATTCCAGCCACTTGCAAGGGAGATGTTTTATAATGTGTAGACTGAGATTTTGTAAGCTTCAGTAACGTGCTACAGGTCAACAGGGGAAAGGACAACTGAAAGCTGAGAGTTACCAGATGCCAAGACGTCACTATCCTGGGCCTGGCCTTGTGTGCAAGCCGTCTGTGAGCAGGGAGAAGGGTGCACAGTTTTTTTTAAGTCTCAGACGAGAGGGGCATAGCACTCTGGGAGCTAGTCGGTGGGGGGAAAACACAAAGCAAACTTATGAGAGAAGTTGGGTTGAAAAACTACTTAGGAAACAGGGATGCGGTTCAGGGCAGAGCCCTCACTCTGCATATCTGGGCTCAATTCCTGGTACTACCTGGTCCCTCAAGCACAGCCAGTAGCAATCCTGCAGCACCAAACTAGGACTAGAGGCTGTGAGCACCCAGGTGTTGCCCCAGACACAAAGGAGTCCATAAATCTCAAACTGCCTAAAGGAAACCACTGGGGGGAAAGATATGCTGTCTTCAGAGTCATAAATAGCAGACCTATATGTACCAGTTGTAATCTCTTATTGAATGGCATTTGGCAGTCGGTGGGGGAAGAGAGGATGACATCCAGCAGTACTCAGAGCTTACTCCTGGCCCTGTGCTAGAACTCTGGCAGGGCTTGGGAGGTCTGGAGTGGGTTGAGCTACTTGCAAGGTAAGTGCTTTCCCCACTGTGCCATCTCTCCTGCTACATTTGACATTTTTTTTTTTACATTTGAAATTTTTTAAAATATAAAATAATCTGTAGTTTCTTACTCAAGCATAGTTGTTATTTAAGAATAACGGTGCAGATATAGGACCAGAGAGATAGTATAGGGCTTTAGATGCTTGCCTTGCATGCATTACCACCAGGAGTGATCCTTGAGCATAGAGCCAGAAGTAAGCCCTAATCAACAGTGGTTGTGGCCCCAAAATCAAAAGACAAAAGAAAAGCTGATACGTACATTTCATTTTACTTAGTGATAGGAATGCAGGAACTTGAGTCAAATTTCTGGTTTTCTCTTTAATTTGCTTTTCTGATTTTCTCTTTTATTTCCTTTTTACTTATTCATACTGGGTGAGTTACCTGTTCTCTCCAGAATGCACTCATTTTTCTCATTTATATGAGAGAAAATGACAATATTTTATTTTATACAATAAAATAGTAATTACTATATCTGAACAAAATACCGTGATCAATATTAAATCCGCCCTGGATGAAAGTAAAGATAAAAGATTCAGTAAGAAAGAAAAGAGGGACCAGAGAGAGAGAGATAGAGAGAGAGAGAGAGAGAGAGAGAGTGAGTATAGGGATAAGACATGTACCTTGTATTTTGAATTCATTGGAAGTTTGTGTGATATTCTTTGGTGTAACTTTTATTTATCTATTTGTTTATTTATTTTTGCTTTCTGGGTCACACCTGGCGATGCACAGGGGTTACTCCTGGCTCTGAACTCAGGAGTTACTCCTGGCGGCACTCAGGGAACCATATGGGATGCTGGGAATCAAACCTGGGTAGGCCGCATGTAAGGCAAATGCCCTACCCGCTGTGCTATCTCTCCAACACCTTATTTAATATTTTTACTGATTTGCTGAACTGCTGTGTAAATTACAAAATGCCAGCATATTAAACTGAACATTTGTTCTAGCATTCTTAAAATTGCTGTGTTTTTTTTTTTTACATCAGGTCTGTTAGCAAAAATATTGGAATCGGTATAAGAGGTACTATAATACTAAAAGAAATTTATTTGTAGAGAGGGTTCTTCAATAGCGCCTGTACCTTGAAGCCTCCTTGAGCTCCAGCCGCGTCCTCCCCTGTCGCAGCGGCACCATCTTGCTCAGTAATGCAGGGGCCATGGCGGAGGACTCTGTACCAGGGGCGCCTCAGAGGGGAGCAAGTGAGCCCTCCCCGCCCCATGGGACCTAGCCCCAGTAGCCTCCACAGCCCAACCGTCCCTGAGCTCCAGGCCGCTTTCCATATGATCTGGCCAAGCCTCACGCATGGGTGAACATATTCATGTTCACTTCACAGCTGTGCAACACATCATCATAAAGAAAAAAAATACATATATATAGATATATATATATATATCTATATATGCCTCGGAGAGCCCAGTAAGCTACCGAGAGTATCCCGCCCACACAGAAGAGCCTGGCAAGCTCCCTGTGGCGTATTCGATATGCCAAATACAGTAAAAATAACGTGTCTCATTCCCCTGGCCCTGAAAGAGCCTCCAGTCATTAGAAAAGATGAGTAAGGAGAAGCTGCTAAAATCTCAGGGCTGGGATGAACGGAGACGCTACTGGCACCCACTTGAGTAAATCGATGGAAAATGGGATGAAAGTGATAGAGTGAAAGGTTCCATGGCATTGCTCTGGACATGATGGCTTCTAAGAATGCTTCTACTTTCTTAGCTTCTGAAATTGTTTTTATTGTCTTGAAGACATTGGGAATTTGATTGCTTCTACTATTTCTTACTCCTGCTCTTACCCCACAGAATTTGGAAATGTTTTTAAGATTATGATTATAATAAATTTCTCATTTTTTCCATTTTAGAGGGGAGAGATTGAGTTTGAAGTAGTATATGTGGCTCCCGAAGTGGATTCCGATGATGAAAATGTCGAGTATGAAGATGAGAGTGGACATCGCTACCGTTTGTACCTTGATGAATTAGAGGGAGGTAGTAATCCTGGTACTAGTTGCAAAGACACAAGTGGGGAAATCAAAGTGCTACAAGGTAAAAATTCGCTCTAAAAATTAATGTAGCTATTACTTATAAACTTTTAAAATTTCAGTTTCAAATTTTCTTCCGTAGCATTGCTTTTATGATGGGGAAACTGTCATCAGCAGGTTAATATCTTTCTTTTTGTGATAGCTCTTTACTGAACACTAGTAACTTTGCCAAACTTCCATTTACATGTAAATTCTTCTTTATCTTGAACTTTTAAGACAAGGGCATTACCAGTTACTGAACTACATGTCATCCTTAAAAAGTAAATTCAAGGCTCTAGATTCTAAAATAACCAATATGATTATTAGACTTTCAGATGTACTTTAGTATCATTTTGCTGTTTTAAAAATTCATAATATAGCGAGGTATAGGTTTAATATAAATAAGTAATTATATTTGTCTTATGAAACATCTGTCGCTGTCCTCCCATTTGCTCATTGATTTGCTTGAGCGGGCCCAGTAACATCTCCATCGTGAAACTTGTTACTGTGTTTGGCACATCAAATACATCACGGGTAGCTTGCCAGGCTTTGCCGTGCCGGCAAGATACTCTCAGTAGTTTGCTGGGCTCTCCGAGAGGGGCGGAAGAATCAAACTCGGGTCGGGCACGTGGGCCACGTGGGCTGCGTGCAAGGCAAACGCACTACCAGCTGTGCTATCACTATTTGTCTCCATCAGACACCAAGCTATAGGAGCTGGGGATTTCTGATTTAGTTCCTTTATTATATGTACACATATTTTAAAGAAAAATTCTCTTTTTTTCATACTGAGTCATGTTTCTTAAGTTCTGATCCCTGGTTTTGTGGGTCTCCTTTTGACCTTTTAGAGGTTCATGAAATGAAAGCTTTTTATTGTAATAGTAAGACAATGTCTCTTTTGTTTCTTGTTTTGTTTCTTGTTTTTGTTTGCTCTTTTGGTGTATTTACACTGATAGTTCAAATGTAGTGGGAGTAAAACTGTTGTTGACAGTATGAATCATGGCAGTGACAACATTGTCATTGTTGTTTTCTTTCTTGCCATATACTCAGTAAAAAAATAAGCAGAAAGAAATGCCAGTTTTTCTCCGTTATCTATGAGTGTCAGGGAGATGGTGCCATGGGGAAGGCACTTGCTTTGCATGCCACAGACCTGGGCATGCACCCCACTCTGTGGGGTGTCAAGTTTAACCCCCGACACCCCATAGAGTTCTCCCAAGGACACAGAGTCAGCAGTAAGCCCTGAGCACTGGCTGGTTTTGTCACCCCAAAGCAAAACAAGACAAAAAATATTCTCAACAAGATAATAAACTTTCCATTTTATAAAGTCTTGGGCCCTTGAGTACATGTATTTTTTCCTGCTCTGTGTGATGAGAAGTATATACATAACATGATTAGTCTGCAGGCTACACTAATATGCTTCCATTGATACTTGGGGGCCGCTCCTGATTCTGTGCTGAAATTCAGGTCTCACCTGTGGTACTTGGTGGACATGGGATACTAGGGATGGAACCGAGTCTTCTGCCAGTAAAGCACATTTGCTCTGCAGTTTGGGTTGTTTCTTTGGCACATAAGATGCTAGTCTGGAGGAAAAGCACTGAAGTGACTAAGTTGCTAGGTGAACTGATTTTTTTTTTTTTTAATGGAAGACAGTTTTTAGTTGAGAGAATAGCCGATTATGGGTAATTCAGACTGATTCAGGCAGGTATCTTAAAATGAACGAAAATAAGTTCATCACTTCAAGTAACATAACTGACGATATTTGTTGCCAGTGAAAAACTTTCAAGAGGACAGTAGAGTTTTGTAAAACATGCATCAATACCTAAGAGTTTGACAGTTTTTCAATACTGAAAATTATTTTTCGAATGGTGGTATTAATCTAATTTTTTATATAATAAAATAGTGTAAACTTTGGGGATTGCTATATAACTCTGATGTAATGTTTTCAAATGACCAAAATACAAGATTAGAAATTTAATTTATTTAAATCTGCTTCTCCTCCTTCTCCTTTTCTATTATTATTATTACTATTGTAGCACTGTAGCACTGTCCTCCCGTTGTTCATTGATTTGCTCGAGCGGGCACTAGTTATGTCTCCAATGTGAGACTTGTTGTTACTGTGTTTGGCATATCAAATATGCCACCGGTAGCTTGCCAGGCTCTGCCGTGCGGGTGGGATACTCTCGTTAGCTTGCCCAGCTCTCCGAGAGGGACGGAGAAAGCGAACCCAGGTTGGCTGCATGCAAGACAAACTCCCTACCAGCTGTTATTATTATTTATAATTTATTATTATTTTTAGCCACACCTGGTGATGGTTAGGGGTTATTTCTGGCTCTGCAATCAGGAAATACCCCTGGTAGTACTAGGGTGACTATAATGGATGCTGGGGATCAAAACCCAGTTGGCTGCATGTATAGCAGGTGCCTTCCCTGCTGTACTATCATTTTGGCCCTAAAAGAATTTTTCTAATGCAGCAGAGTGCAAAAGATTCAGTGATACAGTGTCAAATTCCATATTTTAAATTTTGGTTTAATATCAAAGAATATGGACAGTTTCCTGAAAAGACCATCCACATATATTTATCCCCTCTTCCAATGACAGGTGCATGTGGGGGAACTGTTTTTCATTGCTTGTACCAAATTGAGCAGAGGAAAATACGAGTTCTTTTATATTTTCTATTTTGGATAAAAGAAAATAGTTCTTTTATATTTTCTATTTTTTGGCGGGGGTTAGGGTGGCAGGTCTAGACATAGAAGAGAGTTGCGAAATTGTGAAATAGCACTACCGTGGGGTTTTTTTTTTTTTTCCAGTTTGTTTGACTTTTTGTTTTGGGACCACACCTGGCTATGCTCAGAGCTTACTCCTGGTGCGGCTTGGGAGACCGTCGCGGAATCCAGGGATTGACTCTGGGTTCACTGTGTGCAAGGCAGCTGCCTTACCTGATGTACTATCTCTCTAGTCCCACTTTGTGTTTTTGTTTATTTGGTTTTTTAAGTTTTTTCACTCAACAAATTTTTGTTAACATTTATTGTCATATTAGGGTTAAATCAGTTTTTAGTAACACATGTAATAGTAATCTACGTAAATAAAAGCACACTGAAGATTTGAAACCAGAAAGTTTGAGAACTGCTGACAGAACTTTACAGTAAATGGATGAACTATTTATTTACCCTTTGGTAAACTTGTGTGTTAGCAGTTGTAATTATCATTCTTCCCATGTATCTTTTTTTTTTTCTTTTTTTGGGTCATACCTGGTGATACACAGAGGTTACTCTTGGCTCCTGCACTCAGGAATTACTCCTGGTGGTGCTTGGGGGACCGTATGAGATGCTGGAAATCGAACCCGGGTTGGCCGTGTGCAGGGCAAATGCCCTACCTGCTGTGCTATCGCTCCAAAGATTATATTCAGAAAACTGTACAGTTTATTTGGTATCTGGTGTACAAGGAAGAATTCCTTTTATCAGAAGTTCTGACAAACCTGATCTAGAGTGTCTTTGATTTTTGCCTCATTATTAATTATAGTGGGTATTCCTTTGCTTTTACTCAATAAAACTATAAAAGTCTTCTTTTTAGATTAGAAGTTAATCATCTTGTTCTCTTTTTCAGGATTTAATAAGAAGACAATAACTGATGGACATGAAAACGGAGACCTAGGTGAAACTCCACTAGAAGACAGTGCTTCTAAGTTAGACGATCTGCACAATCTCTATCATAAAAAATCCTATTAAATTGACTGTCTCCAGACAAGATTGCTAATAAGACTATTCTGAATTTGGGGCACTAGGGAAGTCAGTGACAGAGACTGTATACATATATCAAGGGAGGCTGTTTATTGCCTAAATGAAAGGCGGGTACCTCAGGGCTTTGTGAGAACAATTCTAAAAAATGCATAAAACTTCCTGATTTCTGTGGTATACCCTAATTAGCTGTTGCATGTAAAATGATTTTGCTTTTCTTAAAATTGTAAAAGCACCAAAGCATGTGTTTCCCACAGGGATGTTACTAAGCTCTTAAATACCATATGAAGCACCACTGTTTAAATTTGGTTCCTTTTTCATTTAAGTAGGACAGTGTTAACTGGAGTTTTATAAGATAGCCTTTAAATGCAAGAGAATAAATGGATTCATGTTACATATACCAAAATGTTAAGTGTGGTGTTTCAAAGGACAGAATTTTCCTGAATTGCAGAAATGCAGGCTTAATTTTTTTTTAAACTGAAAGAATGATTTTAGGGGTTTTTTTTGTTTTCTTTTTTTACATTTTTATTGTGCATCCCAATATCTAAATCAGTCCTTAATGGCCATTATAATGAGTTTGCCTTTCAACTTTATTCAATGCAGTATAAAATTGTTTTCTTTAAGAAGTCCTTAATCAATGCTGCACTAGAAATAGTTTCTGAGAAGTTACTGTACTTTGTACTTCCTGGTTTTTAAAAGAAATGCAGATGTGAGTGTAAAATATCTGTTCTGAATTATGTTGATCTGTGTGCATGGTATTGGAACATTATATTATTAGTGTTTAGTTGTCTCAAGTACATTTTTTCAGGGATCCAAGAAAAGATATTTTGAGTTCATAAAGTTTGTCTTGTAGTAATCCTGGCACTTCAAGGTAAATATTTTTGGCAGAAAAAGCTCAAATTTGTGACTATCACAAAATACATGGCATTCAAACAGCAATTTTCTGTCAAAGTAAATGATTTGGCAGACTTTGTAGAGCTGAGGCACAAGTGGACCAGATGAGTTAGTTGAAGACATTTTAATACAATAATTGGTTTGGGTGACTTTTCATGATAGTGTTTGTTTGAAAGGTTTTGAAATGTGTTAATTTGCCAGAATCACTGTTTCAAAGGATATATCATAGATTGAAGGGAATATTAAATGGGGAAAGCAGAAATGACTTTTAGAATATTATGGTTATCTTCATTTTTAATATACAGATGCTATGTGATATAAAACATTTTTTTGTCTTTCTTAGATGCACTATATATTTGTTGATAGGTAAATCTGTAAAATGTATATACTTTATTTGGTGGTTTTGTTATTTATAAATTTTGTGTCTTAACTATCGCTTGTTTATAGTTTATTTTGGGTGTTTTTTTTTTTATATGTGTATCACCACATTAGTTTGTAATGGAAATGCACTTCATAGCGTATATTGTTATTGATATTGAAAAACCTTGTAGTATTGTGTTGCTTCTAAGCAAAGCAAGTGTTTGATTGTACAACTGAATTAGCAAGCTAATTACTGTTCCTGACAGGCTAGGCCTTAAAAAAAAAAGAATTCTTTTCCGTATGCATTTTTTGTTTTAAATATATACCTTCAGCCATGACATAAAATTCGCAAACTGGATCTTAGCCAGCATATGCATTTGGGAAAAAATTGAGTTTAGAAAATATTTCATTGTAGGATATCTGAACACTATTTTTGTTGTGACTTAAAATTGAAATTCTTTTTTTTTTTTTAACACCACCTGGAATGGAATGAACAAGGCATTACTATTATTTTTTTAATCAAAGAAAATATTCTCTAATTACTATGACTGAATCTTTAGAAAATATTGTTTAAAACCTTTTTATCTTCTGGGCCTGAGCATTAATACAGTGGGTAGGGTGTTTGCCTTTCACACAAACACAGCTGACCCCTGTTCAAGGGTTTGACCCCTGGCACCTCATATGATTCCCAGAGCACTGCCAGCAATGTTTCCTGGGTGCAGAGCCAGGAGTCAGTATTGAATACAGCTAGGTGTGACCCCCAAGACAACAAAAAAAGCCTTTTGATTTTCAAGAACTGCGTAATAAAGTCTATAAAGAATTTTTTAGAACCTTTAATTGGCTTTTTGTGTAATATGAAAGATAAATGGTTATGATACAAATCTCCTTCGAGGGCTCATAAACAGAATAAAATAAACTTCCCAGGTATAGGTTTTAAATTGCACACATCAATTTCTGTTCTACTCCTTTACTTTGGTCTGCAAGTCTAATCAAAGCACTGTGTTGCTCAGATGCTATGGTGAGCTTCTAGTCAGGAAGCTCCCAGGTAAAGGTTCATTTTAAATTATATGATCTTTGAGGTATGGATTTGAAATGAGAAACTTTTCCCAAGGGGCTTAATGAAAAGAAATTTTTATTTTTTCCACATTTATAGGAGAAATAGTATTCAAATTTCTAGACCCAGATTAAAAAGTACTGTTATCAGCCATTACAATTAATAAGAAAAAACAAAGATACACAAATGCAAACAGAATAGCTGAGAAGAAATTCATAAGTGTGATGATTCAGTGTATGGATTTTCATTTCTAAAATTCCCTTCTGCATTAACTAACATTTGAATATGACAGAAAAGCAATACATGGATTATTTGAGACTTGTTAAAAGAGATTTAACAGAGACGAAAATTCTGTGAGTCTTGTCCTTATGAATGAACACTTGTGAAAGTTAGCAATTTGTCCTTGGTGCTGTTTTTAATCTCTCATATTGACCCTTTTATTTTTTCATGTTAGAAGCAAAATTATTGATTCATTTTGAGGTTGCACATTATTTGACTTCATTATTATGTAATCAATTTTTCCACCTATCCAGTCCTCCACTTAAAGTCAGCTACAAATTTGTAGGATTTATGACATATATATCTAGTTGAGTTTAATATTTTTATTAGCCTGTAAATAATGATGACATCTTCTACATTAAAAAAAGTATTGATCTTGGGTTTTTTAAAAAATAAACAGTTTGTTTCATTCATGTTAAGTATTTTGGTTTATTTCTAGTAGCTTCTGTTATTTAGACCGATATGTCATTTAGTCCATATAAACTGAGGTGCAGGAGCGATAGCACAATGGGCAGGGTGTTTTCTTGCATGCAGCTCACCTGGGTTTGATTCCTGGCACCACAGAGGGTCCCCTGAGCATTGACTGGCAGCTGTGACCCCTGATTGCAAAGCCTGGAATAATACTGAGCACTGCATGGTATGACCCGCAAACAAATAAACAAAAGACTGAATCTAGTTACTTAGGGTAGAACACTGGTGGGTGGGGCATAGGTGTTAGGAGGTAACTGGTCTTAACTGTTTAATCAGACTTGGCTACAAACACACTGATGGAAAAGAACCTACAGAGCAACTGTGGGACCAGTTTTCTGTTGAAAATGAGAAGGCAAAAACTAACCTTATACACAATTTGCCAGTATTATATCTATAAGGATGAACTGAATTCTAGAAAAAAAAAGGTGCTATATAAGAGTATTTTTCTTATCTTACCATCTTACCGTCTTATGATATAATTTAGTAAGTTCCCAAATGATGTGTAAAATAATTTTTAGAAATATTTTTAGATCTTTTGCCTCAGATGCGTTTGTTCATAGTCAGTATAAGATCAAAGTTGATTGTAGGGATGCTTTTTCTTTGCTAAGGGTATTTGAGGTCAAACAGGAAGATGCGGTTACAAATGATACTTGACTCTTGAGTTTTAGTGTAATTATATTTCAGAAAATTACCTGAAGATTTAGAAATACTTTTAATCATTAACTTTCAGTTAGTGCCAATATTAATATATGCCATGTGTCATTTTAAATTCCCAATTTATTTACTAACTAGTTTTGAACAAGAAAGTTTTCCCCAGCATTTATTTCCACAGGGTCTTGGTCAGTTTGTGAGGGGGGAAAAAAAATACTAGAAGATTTGCACTTTGATTTTTAATTGTTCTGTTAGGTATTTAGCTGGTTTTATAACTAGCTTTTAAAAATTATGCTCTTCTGAATCATGCTGTTGGTGCTAAATATCTGTGTGATAATAAATCTTTTTCAGGTGTATTTTGAGAGGTCAAATGACTGTTTGGGCTGCCTTGAGAGTGCCTCTCAGGTCTCCAGAAGGAAGGAGCGTAACTGCCTGGAGGCCAGCTGCTATCATCTGAAATCCAGCCCTGCATTCATGCAGAGGCTCTACTCCCACGTGCTGCAGCCTCTGTGACTGACGATCACGGGGATAGTCTGACTCTGGGACTTTGACTTCAGGGTTCCCTGCTGGTCTTATTTAAGGTGCATTCACCCACCCTTCCTGCATCTTCTCACTCATGTGGGGTCATGCCTGCATCAGGTCTGGTTGCCTCCCAGCCCCCCACCAGTTCCAGCTCCCTCCTTATCAGCACTGCCCCTAATAAATCTGCAATTCAGCTGATTCCTTCTTGGTTTTGGTATCTGCTTCTTGGAGAACCAACACTAACATAGGTGGGCCAGCAGTGAGATCTGAGGCAGCAGGTTAGTAGACTAGAATTAGGAACCTGTTCCTCTCTCCTCCCAAAGGATAACAACAATGACGACATTGTGGTATGAGTGCAACTCAGCACAAGGTCACAGCTTAGATACCTCTTTTCTGGTATACAGTAAAGTTCATTTTGCAAGCTCCAATGAATTACCTTTACAGAGGTCTGCTTGCAGGATTCACCCTTGTCTAGTGTCTCATAGTTTGGATTTGGGGAATGATTCCACAACTGCTTAACTAATACAGATAATTAACTGTTCTTGAAATGTTTGTGTTAAAATATATATATATATATATATATATATATATATATATCTTATATGTTGAATACTTCCTTTCTTCCTTTGAGAATCTGAAGTGTTGGTACATGCCTAGTTGGCAATGTGATTAACCTGGATAAAAGTTTGGGGCTCCTTTGTTCAGGTCCAGTCAAGTTTTTCTTGTGGACAATATTTTATCGGTGTCCTGGAGACATCATTGGTGGAGGAATTAACCGTTTCCTATATAACTTCATTGGGAGAAGTATTTTGTTGCTTATGTCTGGTTTCCTCTAGACTGTGCTCATAAGCCTTTTCCTTTGCCAATTCTGCTTGATTTTCTTTCTCTAACAAACCAGAGCTTTAAAGTACAGCTCTATGCTTATTTTCTGGGGATTCTTTTAGCCCCATTACTCAGCCTGAGGGAGCTTGCAAACCTGAAGGTTGTCCTAGATGAGTGGTAAGAATTCTATCAGAACTTAATGATGTTGGCATTTGATAATTATGATGATTAACCAGCAGAATTGGCTGGTTTCTGCTAGGCTGTATTGATGGCCTAACAGAATACCTAACAGAATAGTAACGAGAAGGCCATTATTAAGCTCTTAGGCTGAAGTATGAGCTTCAGAGTTTAGGAAGAGGGCTTTTTTGCTGCCATGGGAAGGTTGAAACACTGTGTCTTCAGTCTGAAGGAGCTTCAGAGACTTGAGTAGTCAAGGCCTGTTTGGTTAAAGTTGGGGGGACTTGGTAGGAAAAACCTTGAAGCCTGAAAAATTGCACAGTGGCTTGGATGAGTACCCAATGAGGAGGTTGATGCTGCAGTCATTACCAGCCTCTGGTCTTGAAGAAGTAGTTTCCCTCACTCCCCCAACACCCGCCTTCCCTAATAAGACACCTCTGCTATTCTATGTCAGAGGATGCAGCAGAGGCTGCCACTCAGAACAACAGTGGCCTCCATCTACTATCTTGGATGCCAGTTTCTGACTACGATAAATCCAAGCAAATCCTGGTTACAGATGCCCTAGGTTTGATAAGCAAGTAGACACCAAAATATAAGAATCAATATATACTGGCAGGAACCAAGGAGAATGCTGAGATTGTATTTAGAGAGTGTGTTGAAGGACTAATTCATGTTCCCCCTTTCCCCCCACCACCTCCCAAAAAAAAGTTTGGAAAAAATTATAGCAATAAGTTATTTACAGGAAATATTCTTTCTGAAACATGAGGACACAAAAGTTCTTAAATTAGAGTAAAAAGATACACAGGGTCTTTTGTCTTTGCCTGCATTTGCCTGACAATTTGTACTTTCTGGGGAAGTGACCCACTTATCCCTGCTTGGTGTGTGTGCTTGGACTTTTTTTTTTTTTTTTTGGCTCTTTGGAGAAGCCGATGTTCTCTCCTGAGCGCACATCTCTACCATCCCTTTATGTTCTGAATAAACTTGTTTTTTTGTACAAGGAAAAAAGAAGAAAAAAGATACACGGAGCCCATGTCATTTCTAAAAGTAACCTGAGATAGTCCAGATTTGTATCAGAGAACAGAAATTCTAGGGGAGGAGGAGGATAGAGTTGACAATTATTTTAGCTATCATTTGGAGAGGTAGTACAGCAGGTAGGGCTCTTACCATGCATGTGGCCTATCCAGGTTGTATCCCTGGCATCCCACGTGGTCTGAGCATGCCAGGATTTCTGAATGCTGTCAGGAGTAATGAAATCCTGAGCTCTGCCAGGTATGGCCCCCAAACAAAACCAAAAAATTAGTTAAATTATTATCTTGTGTGTACCAATTAAAAGTCTCATATATACAGAACAAAAAATGATAGGACCCCTCCCCCCACCCCCGAAAACTATAAAATCTCTCGCAGTATAGAATTGTAGCAAAACTTCCAGAGAAATAAGGAAAGAAGGTAAACTTAACAAGCAAAAGTAACCTGACTGTTATAAGTCAATTAGAAGTTTTTGTTGTATTAAAAATGCCTTTGGCTTGCAACTAGGAATATAGGGTCAACGAAATATAAAAAGAACAATGACATATATGGAATGAAAAAAAAGACTAAAATTTGAGTTCTTTACTTTGTTAAGATAGACTGCAGTTTCGTGAAGCAACAGCAGGGGGCACCAGATTCCAGGTGTGATCCTATGCTGCTGGAAGCTTCAGTGTCACTAAATTTTAAGAGTCAGACTTATAATCTTCCTAACTCTAAATTTTTTTTAATTATAGTTTAGAAAATATGGGTACAGTAGAATTAAACTTTATAATGTTAATGCTAATTAACTCCTAATGCTACTTTAATAGGACAATTTAATGAAAGGAAAAGGGAAATGCAAATAAAAGGCTGTTTTAGATTTTCAGTTTTTTTCTCGCACTCTCCCACACCCCTTCATTACTTTTGTTTTTAAATAGTGCAAGGTTTTATTTGCACTATAAATCTGCAGCTTAAGATTTATGCAGGTTGGATTTTTAGTTTTGGGTTGAGGGACTAGAGAGAAAGTTCAGAGTTCTGGAGAGTTCTGGAGTACATGTTGTGCACATGGGAGGCCCGGGTTTGACCCTCTTATCTGGTTTCTACCAAGAGTGACCCACTGAGCACCATGCTGGAGGTAGCCCCCCCAAGCACAGCTTGTATGGCCCAAAGCCAAAAAATCTCCTTGGACTGGCTTTGAGTTACACTATTAGATGATTTTCTGTATGTGAATGTAAGAACTTAGAATTTGTCTTAGAATGACAGAACGCTTAAAGTTACATGGTAGTGCTGACTTGAACTAAGAATATAAAATTGGTAAACATAAGTCATAACTTCTAAGACATTTTTCAGGACCCCCGCACTGTTCTGCGGTCCCACAATGGGGTTGGGACCCACACTTTAAGAAGCAAGATTCATAAAATTTAAGCTATAGCTTGTATTAAAAAGTAAATTTAAAACTCCTGTCCTACCCTCACCTACCACATACACACACGAACTTTAAAAAAAAAGTGAATGTTCCTATTTTCCTTAGGAAGGAAGGCTAAAACAATATTTTCTCATTCAAAAAGGCATTGTTAATAGGCACCTTTCTACATCCTCATCATGAGAGTACGTTTACCTCCCCCTAGGACTCAAAAGCAAAAAAAAAAATGGAAACCTAATTTGTTTTTGAAAACCAAAATTCAGGGCCAGATAGTACAGCAAATAAGGTGCTTGCCTTGCATGGAGCTCCTCCCAGGAACAATCCCTGAGGCATGCTAGGAGT